GGAGCAATTTTTTTTTTTGTTTTTGTTTCTCGCTTGTCCGTTTGCAGCATTAGGAATGTCCGAGGACGATAGTGTTGTGTGACCTGTCGGTTGGCGGAGTCCATGAAAACGTCCGCCCTCTATAACAGCCCATAAAGAACCACTGCGGGTCCAGGAAGACCACCGAAGAAGTCGGCCTCGTGGGATCCGGTTTCTCTTTTTTGCCACGCCATGCCCGCTGACATCTTCAGAGTGATTTTTTGCGTCTACATTTGTAGTGTAGTGGTGGGATCAGCCCCTTAGGGAGGCTCACGCTTCCATTCAACCAACTGGTGAGCTGCAACAGCCTGAGTACCCACATATGGAAAATGTCAACTTTTAGCCTCTAATGAATATTCAGGCCCGTCTTCACTTAGGGCGGGTTCTGGGCTTGCTGAGGGCCTCTGCCCAGAACATGTGCATGTCTGATAAGGGCCCTGTGAGGGCTCATTCCTTGCATCTTTCTTGAGCACCAAGAAAATACAAAGACAGGTGCAGCCAGATGAATGCCCTTTCTCCTGCTGCATTTCCCTCCTCCTGCCCCTCCTTTCCGTCATAGGTTAGAATACCATTCATTACACAAGTACAGCCTGATCAGACTAATCAGCCTAATCAGCCTAATTAGCCTTATCACCCTGATCAGACTCATCTTTTTCTTTTAGGAATTCGAGGAAATCTTTTTAAATAGAAAGAATATCCTTATTATTATGTTAATGTCAATCGAGTTAATGTTACTTGCTATCAATTTTGGACTTTTTAGTTTTCTGTTTATGTATATGACATGATGGGTCAATTATTTGCTTTGATCGAATTAACTGTAGCTGCTGCAGAATCTGCTATTGGGCTGTAGCTGCTGCAGAATCTGCTATTGGGCTCGCTATTCTTGTTATTACTTTTCGAATTCGTGGCACTATTGAAATCTACCCAAACCAAAACAAGTGGCCTATTTCCGATTAAGAAAGGCACCTAAGAAAGAGGCACCTTAGATTAGAGAAACCTGGTAGCCTCTTGGAAGTACAGGTCCACTGGTCAGAACTAGGCCAGTACAGTTAAGAGGCGTCTGTACTATATTTAGTTTAGACGGTTAGTGTAGGAGCAGAAGTAGGCATAGATGTAGAGGTAGACGTAGAAGTAGTTCTCTAGTAGGTTCTAGTGGTAGCTTTAGGAACGGTAGCAGTAAACTTAGTATTTGCAGCCTCAGGGCTGCTGGGTTGGAAGAGACCCCGCAGGCATAGCCTGTAAGCTAAGCTGGATGATGCTTCCAGCAATTTGCATCCGGGAGTAATGTTGAGGTCCCCGGCCTCTGATGAAATTTGGAAACGGACTTGATTTTGAGTTAAACAAAACAAAACAAAACAAAACAAAAAAAAAAAAAAGATTAGAGAAAAGACAAAACGACAAAAACATAACTAATCAGACTAATTAGACAGAGTAGCAACCAGGATGGCGCCAGCATCTCTCTCCTTTCATTTCATCGCCATCCTTAGTCGGTACGCAGCTTCGTTCCGAATCAAATCACGCATTCTGCTGTTGAAGGTGAAGGCTGACAGTCGACGCAGGCTCGAATCCTGGTCTCGCACTTCGTTTTCCTCATTATTACTTCGCAATTGTATGTGTCATCCGCTCACTGACAACATTGTGAGCGCGATTGTGGTTTCTGTGAGAGGGACTTCCCTCCCTCAGCTCCTTCAGGTCGCCATGTGTCACTCGAAAGAAGACGCGATGCAGAGGGGAGCGGAGCGAATAACTAAAGATAAATAGAGAGGGAGACATGCGCAGATGTAGGTGAGTGGATGGACAGAGTTGAGAAAGGACGCGGTGACCAGCACCAGCAAAAAGATAGACGCAATGCCGGGTAGGAGGAACAATTAATGAAAAAAAAAAAAACAATAATAATAAGAGGATGATAAATTTAGAATTATCATATACTTAGTATTTGAAAGAGGAGGAACGGGGGGGGGGGGGGGAAGAGGGGGGAGGGGGGGAGAAGAGGAGCCGCAGATGAAGTAGAAGAGGCCAGATCGAGGAGAAAAGAGGTGACAGAAGAAGAAAGGCGGGCGATGACGAGGAAGAGGAGAGGAGGGGTGTGCTAGGATTGGAAAGTGCATGCGAGAAGAAAAAAGGAGAGAGAGGCGATGATCAATAGCAGCACACGAAGTCGAGACGAAGGAGCGAGCAGCGGGGAAAGATGAAGCGACGACACAGGAAGGGAGAAGGAGACAACGGGAAGCCCAGAGGGCATTGCGGTAAAGCACTGCAGAGGAGGAGGAGGTGGAAGAGGACGAGGAGGAGGAGGAGAAGCGGACAGAAGGACGACGAGGTATTCAAGTAGGCAAAATGGGAATACTTCCGAGGAGAAGAGAAGGAGGAGGAGGAGGAGGAGGAGGAAGACAAGGAGAGGTACACAGTATGCAGGGAGAGAAGACATAACAAGAAAGAGAGAAAGAAGTACAAGAGAGGAATGAGAGAAATACTAGTAAACACGACGAGGTTGGAGGTGTAGCAGTTGTGCAGCGATGGAACAGGCGAGGGTGCAGTCAAGTTAGGGTTCACGTGCGCAATGCAGGGGCGACGAAACAGGAACCGGAGGAACCCACACCGAAGAACAAGACGGATCTGGCAAAGGAGTTGGGAGGAGGAGGACTGAGAGGGGGTCAGCCAATAGGGAGTCAGAAAGTAGAGGCAAGAAAAGGACGAACCCGAACTGCTAAAGAAGGCCACGGAGTGGGGCAAACAGGAGTCGAACCCCCGTCGACTGTTAATCTGTTGAAAGGGACATTTTCCACGTAGGTAGGAGTCCTGTTGGGGGGGGGGAAAGGAAAAAAGGTAGGAGTCCTGACGCTCCCACTTGGTGGCTTTGGTGGCCTTCATTCATAGCAGTTCTGGTTCGTCCTTTTCTTGCGTCTAGTCTCTACTTGCCATTCGCTGACCTGTCAGTCCTCTTGTTCCTCTTCCTCTTCCTATACGCTTGCTCTTCGGTGTGATTCGTCCTCCTCTTCCGACACTGGGAGCAGGAGCAGATGATCAGAGAAGAAGAAGAAGAAGAGGAAGAGGAACAAGAATAGAATGGAACAGGCGCAGATGTTCAGAGAAGAAGAAGAGGAAGAGGAACAAGAATAGAGACAAGCATTTTGAATGCTTGTACAAGTCTCTGGGGCGCGCTTCTCAAGAAGTTCATCACGACATCGAAACCGCATGTACAAACGTCCAGAACGCGCACTTTCTCCTACACCTATCGATTAGGTGCTACCTCCTCAGGGGCTTTCCACGATGCAGCCTGGCGGTTCCACCGAACTTTCAACCAACAAGAAGATAGAACTAAAGTGAAGCGCATTGACCAAACATGTTCGCCGTTCTTGCATGAAGAAGAAAAAGAAGAAGAATAGTGAAAACAGTGGCCATCGACTGCTTCCCGCACACGCAACGAGAACAAAAAAAACAATACATCTCCGCATGGACAGCTCTCAGTTGAAACGCGCAAAGAAGAAGAAGAACAACAACAAGAATAGTGAAAACAGGGGGGGGCAACTGCCTTTGGTACACGCTTCGTAAGCTCTTCAGTACACAGCCGCGCATACTAGTCTCAGCTTACGCGCACATTCCCCCGACGCGCGTTTCGATCCGATGCGCTCCGATCATTCTCCGCGGGCTTCCGCCGCAACCATGCCTTGCGGTCCCCCGACTGTCCTCCCAACCTACTGAGTTAAAGAAGAAGAAGAAGAAGAAGAAGAAGAAGAATGAAAACAGAGGCCATAGACTGCTTTTCGCGCATGCTTCAACAGATAAACACTACATCTCCGCAACAAGAAGAAGAAGAAGAAGAAGAAGAAGAAGAAGAAGGAGAAGAAGAAAGAAGGAGAAAGGATATAGAACGAAGAGAAAGAAGAAACAAGACAAGACGAAGCTGACTAATGATAAACAGAGGCCAACACGGTCTTGCATACTACACTGAAGTCAGAAGAAACGCGCCCATTACCCGACGCGCTTCGTCCAGGTTGCCATGTTGCGCACCTGGCACTCCTTGGGGGCGTTCTCCTCAGATCCGCCTTGCGACTCCACCGCACATTCCAACCGACTGAGCATACGAGGGCCGACGGCCTTCGCCTCTTCTATATCGTATCACCTACCTACAACCTAACTTCTTCCCCCGAATACAACGTACGGTCATTGTAGCCGTACTTGGGGATCGTTCAGTCTAGATGCAACTATGATGGCCGTACGTTGTATTCGGGGGAAGAAGGTAGTCTCACCATTCTGTGTTCACGTCCAGAGAAGGGAGAGAGGAAGAAGAACACAGGAAGCGGATGTAGATAGTAAGCAAAAGAAGAGCTGAACGACTGCTGAATAGGAGAAGCTGGACGTCATGAGAGAGAGAGAGACACACACACACACCCCGGAGGAAAACAAGCAGGAGGAGACGGACCAGGAGGGGGAGGAGGAGAAGGACAAAAAGCAAAACTTCAAAGAGGGTAAGAAGAGAAGGAAGCAGCAGCAGGGGGACGACACGGTGAACGACAAAGAAGAAGAAGAAGACAGAGAAACGCGGGAGCCCGAGGACGACCAGAATGACAAAGAACCAGGACAAGAAGAAGAAGAAGAAGAATGGTAGTAGTAAAACAGCGGCCAAACCGCTCTTCCTCCATGCTTTCAAGAGTACGATCATTTGACTTCCTCACGTACTTTGCACTCAGGGTAAAGAAGAAGAAGAAGAAGAAGAAGACCAACGGGCAGAGCTCAGTTGGTACACACATCAACTGTTTGAAATACACATCTGACTCCTAACTCCACAGGATGCAGCTAAGTGAATTACAGCAATTCTGATTTACCAAGGGTTCGCTCAATTCAATTGATGATATCTAAAGACCGTACCATCCCGCCCCTCCACCCAAAAAAAAAAAAAAAAAAAAAACAAAAAAAAAAAACCTATCTGAGTGGGATAGGGGTTGGCAAGAAGAGACGGGTACAGAAAGAATCGTTCTGACCTTGAGAATTTCGAGAGACTCAGCGTGCAGTTTGATGGCCTTGGTCGTCTCCACAACATCGAAGTCGATGGTCACCACACCCTTGAACCTGAAGGACTGCAAATTCGGTTCCAGGACCGGAGTGTACTCAGAGGCTTCACGCTCTTTGGGAGCAACACCTTGCTCTGTTTGCCGGCCATCCTCTCTCTCTCAAATCTATGCTGTTCGAGCTCTTGATCTCCTGAACTGGGTCGGCTGATAAAGAGATGCAGAGCCAGACAAACGAAGATCAAGCTCCACTTTCCCCTTTCTTCACGCGAGGAAAACATGAACCGCCCACTTGAACACACCGACGACAACGTACGTCGACTTATATATTCCTAAACTTGGGTACGCAACTCTCCTTTTGTCTCAATCACAAACACCTACCATCCGCACATACGTCTCAGCACACTAAGCGCTAAACACGATGATCGGCCGCCCAGCCGCCCGGCGACCAGATCGCAGGTCATCAATCACCCACAATACGCACGATGATCGGCAAACCGCTCATCTGCATTTGATCACAGAAAAAAATTTTGATTCCCAAGGAGTCAGTGCCCACCGAGGTCCCAGGTCATTGAGCCGGAACTCTAGCCTCGACACGTGGAAGGTATTTACTGAAACACGTGGAAGGCTTTCGTTTCTCGAACAGACCGTGGCCATCTGGTGATGCAGGGCTTTGCTACCGTAACTCTACCCCTGTAGCCTGGACACGTGGAAGGTATTTAGAGGCTGATCCCACCTCGTTTCTATTTCGGAAGAAAGCAAAAAGAACGGTTTTGAAGCGCCAGTCCCGCCGGTTCCGTAATAGAAAACCGCGGACATGGCCACCAATTCCGAAACTTGTACTGAGGACGCGGCGGAAAGTCATGGAGGGGTGAGGTATTCCCAGTTCCCGAGGTGTGTCCACCTGTGCGGCGGGCCGTTGTTGTGTGGCAGGACGTGTGTGGCATTTGGCAGTATGGGACGTCCAGAGCAAAAGGGGCCGGTAGCCCCCTCGAATGGCCCAACGGATGCTACCCACTGCCCAAGGCTCATATTTCAAACTTAAATAATTCGAGGCCGGGGTCCTCACAATCTACCCAGTTTCGCTTACTGGGTGGGACCACCACACCCGGGGGAGAGTACCAAGCCCCCAGACTTCTGAAAATCCGTTCCTTCTTTTGCATCTGGATAGCTCAGACCTTATACGGTTGTCTAAGGCCTGGACCCCACTGCCCGGCCGCTGGAAACTGATGTTGGCCACAAAAAAACGGGCGGGCGTGGTTGGAAATAACTTGCCACGTTTTGTTGGGACCCCACCACCGCCCTTGACTATCCGCACGGGAAACGGATGGATATGCCCGAATAGGAAATCCCCCCGGGGTGTTCCTGAAAAGGCAAGTGCGGTCGGGGCTGTGGTCCATGGGCTTCTATCGGCCTGCACCAGGGCATGTCCGTGTGTGGCCGTGCGCGACCCGTGTGGCGGGTGCCACACAAGTACCGTGCAGCACAGAACGGCCTCAAGGGGTCCGCTAGGGCGGCGGGGCGCGACGATGCACGGAAGTTACTGTTGGGAGCATCAGCAGCTGTCCCCTCCTCCCACACTCCTGCCATCGGTACCACTTTTCCCACTCTACGGACCATCCAAAGTGGGAGTGTCGGCGCAGAGCACTGACGGGAAGCCATAGTCGTCGACGAAGGAGGAGGGTTTGGCGAGAAGTGCGGGTCCGCGAAGGTTGTCCGGCCTTCAAGTGGCCACGACAGGTGGTGTGCAAGGTCGACGCCGTTCCCGTCACAATCACAGCGTGGCCATGTATTCATCGGATGTGGGCAGTTCGGAGGACGAGTGGGTAGACATGATGTTCATGGTCGTTTCCCCCATGGCCGTGCTTGAAGCTGTCGCCATCACCCTGTTCATGTTTTGGGATATGTCGGGGGCGCTCACGATGCTTGCAGGGGGGGTGGTTCACGGCATGGCGTTGAGCTGCTTGGCGGAGCAGGAGTTGGGAATACACATGACACGGAGAAGGTGATTGTGGATGGTGGAGCGTAGCGGAGGTTTGTAGAAGGACCTTCAAAGGGTGGGTGTAGAGCACGATAAGGTGTTCTTGCGGTTCTGCAGATCACCGTGACCACTGTTTTTGCAAGTTCTTCAGCGCATCGGCCCCCATATCCAACGTTTTCCTACTAATTTTCGGTTGCCCATACCAGTCGGGCAGAAGTTTGTTTGCGCACTTATCCGGTGGGCAACGGGCGGGTACTACCAGCAATCCACCCACAGTTTGGGTATGGGCCTTGCGAGTGCATTGAGAAGCAACCAGGACGTCGCAGATGCTATCCTCCACGAGTACAGCCACCTCCTCCAATTCCCTACAGGACGCCGTTTGGAAGAAGTGCAGAATTCTTTCGAGGCGAAGGGGTTCCCCGATTGCGTGGGGGCCATCAACTGCACACACGTGTATATTGATAAGCCGAAGGGGACACGTTCAGAGTGCTACTATCATCACACTGGAGACTTCTCGGTCGTCGCGCAGGTGGTGTGTGACAACGAGTGTAGAATTGTCAGTGTGTATGTCGGTTGCCCCAGGGTTGGTGCACGGCTCGCCTGTGTTGCAGATGTCGCCATTGTACCACAACACCATGGAAGGCAGAGGTGTGTTGTGCGAGGATGGAGCTATCATGCATGATGGAAGACATGTCAGTCGTTACCTGCTTGGCGATGCTGGCTACCCCCTTTTCCCATGGATCATGACACCTATGGGTAGATTCACGAGAACTTCTGCAGATCGTACATACGACGAGTGCCATGCAACAGCGAGGTCTTATATAGAGCGGACATTCGGACGATTGAAGAGCGTATGGAGGAATTTCATCCGCACTCAGATTGCGAACTTGGGAACCCTACGCAAGGAATTCATGGTTGTGTGCATACTACACAACCTCCTGATTGAGCACAGGGTGAAAATCGACCCAGGCCTACTGAACCACATCAGCGACAATGAAGGGGAGGGTCCACAGCGCAACCTCGTCCCCTCCGACGCCGCAGTCGGCGAGTGCCACGTCATATTTCTGACCTCAACATCGAAGCCATATCGAAGATTGATCCCAGTTATGGCTCCCACCTCGAACGAGGGTCAGGGCTAGCTTGATTGATCACGTGGCCCATCATGTCGATGTTCATGGTGCACCGGCGCCACGTCCGTGGCGATAGTGCAATCGTGGATGTGTGGTCGTGGGAATGTCGGAGTCGAGCGCCGTTCAGGTGTCAGTGTGTCAGTGTGTGTGTGTGTGTGTGTGTGTGTGTGTGTGTGTGTGTGTGTGTGTGTGTGTG